CAGCATCTATTTTAAGAACCAATTTAGATTTTCACATAAATGGAAATCAAGAATAATTCTACTGCATTACACAGAAGTGTAAGGGCTGGTGCAAGGTCAGAATGAAGCCTCTTGTGATTGCTGTTCAAAATGAATTTAAATCAGGATGACTGTACTGATTTCAGCAACTTCAAGCTTTTTCTTAACCACATGAAAATTTGGCGTTCAGATAATCAAATAAATATTTTAGCTAATGTTTTCATAACGAATCAGATGGGGCTGGAGCCTAAGGTGGCTGTTGTTCCCCCTGGACACCATCTGTTGCAAGGTGTTCTGTGGGTCAAAAGATAGGAAGCCCTCGATCTTATTGACTTAGCTGCTGCATCCAAACCTGCATTTTATCTCTGACCTTGTCCAAACCTCCCAGTGATGCAATGTGAACACCATGTGCAACACAGTCTTTTTTTCAGGCTGTCAAATCTTAATATTTTTGAAATGCTGAATTTGTGAGGAATTGAGGTAATTCACATTTGAGGCTTTGAACTGAAGCACTGGATTCCATTTGGAGTACAGCACTAGCCCCATAAGCCCATCTCTAAAATTCTGCTCCGAAAAGAGGATTATTGTACATGTGCTATATTTGCTCCCTTTTTTCCATAACCTTTTAATGCCTTGGGGATTGAGTTTCACTAGACGCAGTGGGAGAATCCTGGTACATCTGGTTTCCCTGTGGTCTTACATGATGACTGAACAGCTTCACAGCTTTTGTGGTCAGGTTCCCTATGGGCTCACACTGTGATTAGATTTATTCACCACAAATATATCCTTGTTTGCCATAAAGATACGAGTGAATTGAGCTGCTGTTTATGCATCCCATTTACAACTAAGATTTCATAGAATCACACAGTAAATTAGGTTGGAAAGGAACTCTGCAGGTCACCTAGCCCATTTCCTGGCTTGATCTCTTCCCAGACAAGATTTTTTTTTGGTCCCCTTTTGAGGATGGGCAATTTAGAGATATGCTGTCAGTCACCCTTGAGTTCTAGCAGTGATCTTTGCTTTCCTACTTCTCTCAGTTCCAAGTGCAGACTCCATATACAGCCTGTATTTGAAAAGATATACAAGCTCTTTAAAAATTAAGAGTAATATCCATATTGAATAAGGAATTTTGAAACCTGAAATCTGGCATGGAAGAAGGTTAAAGACTCATAAGCCAGACAGTTGTAACTGAGAGCATCTATACAAAGACCTGATCAACTATCCAGTTTTTGTCATAGCAGGAGAGAAGACTCCTCAGAGAGAAGAGGTAGCAATGGCCTGGGTGTGCAGTTGGAGCCCAGGGACACCCAGCTGTGTCACGTTCCAGGCAGGTTTTAAGGCTACCCAGCATCTTTGAAGTTACCCAGCATCCCTTACATCAGCACAGCCTGCTGCCAAAACCTTGGCATGAGGGATGGCCGTGACAAAGTTGTATGGGGCTCAAAAGACACAGTTTGAACACCCCTTTAAGAGAGCTTGATTTAATTTTAAGACAATAAAAATTTTTGAGCTGACTTCACTGAGTTTTTCACCAGGGCCATAATTATTACTAGATAACACTGACTTGTTCTTGAGAAAGCACTTTCTGCCTATTCTTAATGTACAATGGTTTGTGGGATTTATGCTTTCTTTCTGCAAATACAACAGAATGAAAAACATGGCTGTGACATTTATTGCTGAGTACTGGTTTCCTATTGGCAACTGCACTGGATATATGATCAACATCTTTAATTTTTATGAAGAGATGAAAAGTGATTTGTGTAAGGCCCATTGAGATACTACTTTTTATTGAAAAAGGACTTCTATTTTTTGATAGATGTATAAACACTGTCGGCTATAAACTCTCTCCAAATCTCAGGTAGACTTTTGGAAGTTGACCACAAATGGCTTTTCTTAAAAGCTCAAACTTTAACAAGGCATAATTGTTCTTTGCCATTCGTGAAGACGCTGAAATAAATACATGTTTGAGGAAAAATGAGTCAGGATGACTTCTGCTAATACTCTAGATCATTTAAGTAGATGCAGATACATTTTAAAACTGCCACATATGACTTCTGAACGATCACAGCTAGATCATATTAGGTTAAAGTCTGAGAAATAAGTGCAGGTATTTAGCACGTAATTTCCATAGCCTGCTAAGTTCTGAAAAGGGTTGGCAGAAAACGTCCTTGAACAGAATTAATTAAAGACATCCTGATTTCATAGGTACCTCATGAAATAGGTGAACATATGTTGATAAAAATGACAATTTTCTTCGCTTTAATTGTGCCGGGATTAAAATTGGTCATGTTTTAGGACTGCTGCTTTTCTGTGAGGGGGTTTGGAAGAGAAATGCTGTTGTGTCATTTAATCTTTGTATTACAGCAATGTGTGTGAAGAACTGTATTAACAGAACAAAAGACAAAGACAGATCCTTCTCTAATGAATTTTGGAGAATTATGTTGCTCTGCAGTATTTGACCCATTTGGAGAGAAAAGGTAATTTTCAAGCTCTTTTATTTGCAAAGTAACAGTATGAAGATGTGCGCAAGCATTTTAGAGCCTTGATTGAAGGCAGCTGGGAAAGCTGCTGGAAACGTGGATTCCAGATGAAATTTCCAACACAAAGACTATTGAGAAGGAACACAGCCAACACAGTAAAACTCAGGTAGAAGATAAACTCCAACCCTAGGATGTGGGGACAAGATGTTTTCTCCCAGTTGTAATGGTTGCAGATCAGGAGTCTGCTAGGGGCCACCCTACTTTCAGGCCTTTGAAATCATCAAGAGCTTGTTCTCTCTACTTAGCACTCCAATGGGCTGCTTCATTTTGATTTTCTCATCAATATCTTGGTTCTGCTAAGATGAATGATCCAGAAACAAAATGCTGTGCTAGCTGCCTGTTGTGCCTCCTCCTAAATTTGATGGAGCCTCCCACATATTTGCAAATAGGGGGCAGCTGGGGAGACCAGTCAATATCTGGAAATATTTTGAATATCTATTTAATTTCATTGTTCTTTTTTTGTTTTCAGCTCAAAATAGGTGTGCTTTTACAATAGTCTCCATACCAAACCTTAGTATGTACATTCCAGCTTGCTTGCTGAAAAGCTTTCTTTCTGAATATTGAAAATTTAATATTTATGTACTCTTGCCTATTCACGTGAACTGAAAATCTTTGTAATTTTAAAGCTGGTTACATTCTCTTATAAATTAACTCTTAGTGGTATGGTTTATTTTTCAGTCATTATCTAACACATTAAAACCTTGTTTCAAAGAAGCTAAAAGACCTGGGAATAAAGTGTTTTGGGTACTGTGCATCTTTAATATCATCAAAGCTCACCATAGGTGTTTTGCTGCTTTTAATTCTAGATACTGGTCTTATTTTTCTAATCTGGTGAATAAGCCCCCCCCCAGTTGACTTCACATCACTTCTTAGTAATTTGTTTAGTGTAAAAAATGGGAGGACAAGCAGATCCAAGCCCTCCTCTCCACCACTCTTAAGAATCTCCTGACATTACATCAGCTTAGATCTGCCAAACCGTTCAGCAGATGTAAAAATGAATGGAAAGGTTACTTTTGTAGTGTAATAATTAGAGCATTTACCATGGCAACAGACCTATTAAAGTTCTTCCATTTAGTCATGCGTTATCTTATTAAAAATGGTGAATTCAGCTCCGCTACTCCATTTTCACAAAGCTCCTGTAAACAGCTTTTTTGCAAAGAAGAACCTGGGATTCAGACTGTGCCTAGTCAGCACACAATGTCTCTGGGCTAGTCCAGGGGCAGCACCAATTGCAGGGGCACACTGATTGCAAACTGTACGCACAGTACGCTCCAGAAATCCCAGTGAGCATCCTGAAGATGCCACGTTTCCAATGACACCACAGTGAAGTCATTGACTACTTCTACTTTTCTCATTCATAGAAGGATATGAGGGATATGCAAGCATTGATATCTGTAACATACAACACTTACAGATGGAAGACGACATAAAATTGCTGAGTGTCAGTATAGTACTAAAGCAGTATCACCGCCAGCAGCAGGATTTATCTGTGTGGGAGAAAGGGTTCACAGCAGCGCTTCATCAGTTTTAGTACATCCAGAGAGGCAAGGACATTAGGAACTGGGTGCACTGTTTGCATTTTCTTCTCAGCTACAGCTGTATGCAGCAGAGCAGCAATGCCTGGCTGTTGTGCAGCACTTGGAGGTGCGGAAGGAATGAGCAACAAACAACATCTGTCCGTTCACAAAGGGACTGTAGGTTGGCTGTTAAATGCTGTGGGACAGCTTGTTTTGAGCTACACTATTGTAAAGGCAAATGGAAATCACAGCAGTCTTGTTCCTCATTTACAACTTTCTTGCATTAAAGAGAGGGTAGGTTGCTTGTTAAGAGGTAGGCGCTGTCAGGCTGTTTTTGCTTTCTGCTCCGAATACAGCCACTAATACAGTCACAAAACTGCTTTGTGCACTACTGAAGTCCTAAAAGAACTAGAACCCTATTTTCATAAGGGATAAAACAACCTCTTTTGAAGTCTAAAAAAATGTATCATTCAAATAACTATACAGCATTAGAACATTTTTCTTCAGAAAACGGTCCTTCATATACTTGGGTCTGGCTAGAAAACTCCCATAAATGGCTTTTCTGATACAAAGGCAACTGTGTAATAATGTTGAAAATTCAAAGTTCAGAAGAAAAACAAATGTTTCAAGTTTCCCTTGTACCAGAGAAACAGGCTCCTGCACAACTGCAAAGTTTCAGATTCAAAGTAAGAGCACTCTGCAGTGCTCTCAAATGACTAATACTGAAATTAGATACACTAGAATACTGAAATTGGATTTCATGTATACCAATAATAGGACAAAGAGAAGCACACACATTTTACAAAATGGAAAAGATCTTTTACCTGAGTTTTCAAAGTCAAATATTTGATATAAGCAATTTCAGTAGTTTCAGTCATTTCTGTCATCTTTTCCTCTTCACATAAAAATTACTTCATCAGACTGATAACAAATCATATGTGAAAGTTTATTAAAGCAGAAGAAAAACAGGGATATCAAATTTTACACTCAAGTAATTGACAAATGCAAGTCTTTAACAATAGAGCTTCTGTGAGAACCCAGGAAACAATGCCATTATGCTGTGCAAACACCTTTCAGTGAAGTACATACAGCTTCAGCCAAAGGACAGGGTTCCTCATTTCTCTATAGCCTGATACTAATTATTCCACAGAAATGTTGTACTCCTACAGTGAAAGTGTTGCACAACCCCGTGAAACTGTTGCCAGGGATCTTTTCCAAATTGATGATAAAGGAGCCTTGAGAAAACCTGCTTGTGATAAAATTTCTACTATTGAAAGCATTATTTAATATTCTACTGAATAATTGGCAGACTCCTCAAATTTGGGGAAATGCAAAGCATACTGAGTTGTTGGGTGTTTTGTTGTTTTTAAGGGTAATAATGGTTTAGCCAAGCCCGAAATGCAGAAGATCACACATGATGTGTGCTTGCATCCACTCTGTTAAAAAATCACGTACTGGACTTTGAAGGTGATACTACTATTTGAAGCTCATTCTAGGGCTGTCCCACTGTGGCCTCTGGAAGACACAAAAGGGGGTACTAGAAGAGCTTGCTGAATGGCAAGGCTTGCATTTCAGCAGAGTAACTTTGTGACCAGTATCATTCCAGTAGCTTGAGAGCAGAAACCAAGATTAATGTGGCTTGCTGGGTTGAGTCCCAGTTTCAACCACAGTATTTTGGACACTTTCATTACACCTTCCTGCGTTAACCGTGAGACAGAGACAGACACGATTATGAGACTGAAATAAACTGGGCTTCTCTCTCCAGCTTCTGAGCAGATCGAAGTCAAAACAGCCACATATGGTATAGGGAATATAGAAATCTTAGAATTTGTAGAACATGAACTGCCCATTCAATTACTTATGTAAAATCTATTTCGCAATTCTCATCACTGCTTTGTGCTCTACTGAGCAGAGACGCTAACGGAGAAAGGGGAGGAACAACATACATAACTTTGCATCACATTTCACTTTTTCTCTCCAACTTTGAAAGATAAAAGACGAGATTTCTAGCAAGAGTGGCAGTGCCCACAGCACAAGATCAGAACAAAATTCTGTGAACTACAGAGTTCACCTTCCTCCGCTGCTTATTCTGCTAGTTTTTTTTTCCCTGCTGTTATTTATTTGCTTTCATGTGCTCCTTCAACTAAGATGACAGCGAGAACATCCTCATAAGCCTGAGGGCTTTGTGGTTGACATTCTCAGCTGTGTCACTTCCACATTGCTACTAAAAGAAATAAATGGGTTCTAGATATGCTACTCGGTAGATTTTTTCAACCATATAACACCCTGTTTGACAGAGCATGAATGGAGTTTTGCATCAAGATCTTTTACTTTGTTTTTGGTCCTTTTCTTCTGTGGAACTCTTAGGTATCAATCAGATAAGAAGCCTAAATGCTTAACTAACAACATCAAGTTTATCAGGAGGAGGACATTCAAGAATAACAGATTTGTCTACTAAACCCAGGATTTTAACAAAACAAGTTGTTTCCATATTGCAAAAGAAATGTGCACAACTGTCCTGATAAAATTTAATTACAGACTAATTCAGAAACACTACATATAATTCCACACTAAAATAGCTAAATCTTCATTTTTGGAAAAAGCAAACAAAAAAAAACCAAACCAAAACAGAACACTTTACTCAACATGCTTAAAGGAAAACTGAGAGCTGAAAATAAAGAAGTGACAACAAAACATGCTCCCTACCTGATTCACATAGCTTTATATGTTGAAGTAAAATAACAGTCCCATTCTGGGAACAAGAACACAGGCTACAGAAGAGGCACATTCTAACATAAAAATGGAAATAAATAGAAGAGAGTTTTCCATGTTTTCTTAGTTCTCCCAAATCTCATCCCTGTAACATTGGAAGTGAGCTGTCAGGTGCTGTCATTACAAACCATGTGAGCACATGTGCTCATGTCAAAGCAGTCTGCTTGCTAGTTATCTCATCAGAGGTATTTCCAAAGCTCTGTCATCCTGACTGGAAGATTAATAGCTGCTTCCTCCTCATGAACCCCTGAAACCAAAATTGCAGAACTTGGTGAAGATCTCCCTCATACATTCCATTTATCATTGTTTACTGTGAAGCACTCCGTGGCTCTCTACCCCCACTCAAATAGTTCTCACCCTTCTCTAAGGCATTATTTAATCACAAGCAATGTAAAATCATCTTACTGTCATGATGACAGATCCTACAAATCCCTTCTACTGAGTACGGTCTTGATCTGTTGTATTGCACAGTAAGAGGGTTTGCAGGATTATCTACTACAAGTTTTCAAAAGTTATCCAGAACTGAAGAAGTTTTAAATCCCGGACCTCAACCCCAAGCAATGTTAGGAAACACATTTCATTTGAGCATCTTCTTGAGATCATTGCTGTCCATTTCTTTTCCTGGCATACAAGCCAAGACAGGCACAGAATCCAATGACGCTGACAGCGAGGCCCAGCAGGAACGCAATTGTATCTCCTGCATCCATGGCTTCAACCACTGGCAGCACCAGCAGCAGTGCACTGAGGACCAGGAGAAGTTTTGAGGCGCACCCAGCAGAAGACATGCTGCTGACCCCACAAGGAAGTTAAATGATGAAAGCTGTAGAAAGCAGGTCCTTCGGCACTATCTGCTTAGAAAACAAAAGGAACGTGACTGGACCTCCCTTCCTTCTCCCTTGGATTCTATTCCCAAAAGCCAACCAACGAGATTGCTGTACTACAAGCATCTGGGTGGGAGTTAGGACAACAAGTTACAAAAACATGCAACTTAATGTCATGAGACAACTATGGCGAGTTTGCAATTTTTCACTTCTTTTTCCACTAGGCTGAAACAAGTCTCTGAAGCCTTTTGGTGAGGGCGGCTCAGAGCATGCTCTGCTGCCCCGTGCCGGCTCGCTGCACGCTCTGTATGCGGGCCTGTCCCTGGGCTTTCAGGATGGGTGGCCGACACGAACCGCTGGCACGGCACGGCCTCGGGAGCTGTGCACACAGGACTACAGAGAACGTGGATGTAAGTGCCAGTCCCTCCCTGTGAATACGCTCTAGGACAAACGTCCCATCCGGTTTCACAAAGTTCATGAGAACCGGTTTGAGATAAGCTCAAAGAAACGGAGGAAAAGAAAACACAAGCGGTGTTTTACCCGGGGCCACACCCTAGGTACCTTCGCTAAAGTAAGGCGGCACGAGCAGAAGGAAACTCCCGGCCAGCGCCGGACGGGGCCTGCCCGCCCCGCGCAGCTTCCCGGTCTGGTCGGGGCTCCGGCAGCCCGCGGCCACCGGGACTCCGCGCGGCGCCTTCCCCGCTCCCTCGGCAGCGCTGAGCAGCCGTCGCCCTCCCACGCGGCCCGGCCCGCCCCGCAGGCCCTGCCCTCACGGCGGCCGCCGCCGGACCGCGGACCTCGGTCACCTCCTGCAGCAACGTAGCGTCGCCGACTCCGGGCCGGGCGGCGTCCCCGCTCGGCACCGGGCGCTCAGCTCCTGGGGAAGGCCACTTCCCACCCCGCCGCCTCGTCGCGCTGCCAGGGCCCGGCCGCCGCCATGACAGGAAGGGGCGGTGGAGGGCCGGAGCCGGGGGCGGGCTGACCCGGCCGGGCCGCCTCCCGCCGGGCACGAGGTGCCGCGACGCGGTCTTCGCTCGTCCGCAGAGCCCGCCTCGGCTCCTTCGAGCATCCCGGGTGTGGGCGGGCCGCGGCTCGGCAGTGTCGCCTTTCCCCCCCTTGAGCGGCGGAGCGAGCGCCGCGCTGCTGTGAGGGCCGCGGGGCCACGCCGCTGTGCGAGCGGCCGCAGCCCGCGAGTCTGGCGTGGGAAGGCCGCCAGTGTTTCGGCTGCACGCCAGTGAAACGATAAGCGGCTGGCTGAGCGCTCGTCGCTCTGGAAATAAATAAATAGCGCGAGGTGCTCCTGTGGAACTGCAGATGCCGCTTTGGGACCTGACAGGGCAGCGGTACCAAGTACTGATAGCACCAGCGTAACAAGAGCCTCTTTGTAGGTGTGTAAAGGGTGTATAAACGTGTGTGCAGGGTGCAGAGCTGCATGGTGCCTTAACAACAGAAAAGATTGTAATCAGGCAACTACCTGTCATCACCCACAACACCCAGTAAAAGGTCCTGGTTCTTGATCTTATTTCTGCTTCAGAGCTGCTCGTAGGAGCGCTGTGTCTCATGCTGTGTCTTCTGTTACACAGAGCAGGACTAAAATGTTTTTATTGTAAGTGCCACAGCAGCATACCCAGCTAGTTCCTTATGGAAGCTCGAGTTGAAGCTCACAGATGTGAGAGACCTTTCAACTCTACGTTTTAGAGCTCATCATGTCAGTAATGAAGAGTTATGCCATCTTTGGACTTGCATATTTTGAAGGTGAGGAGTGCAAAATCCAAGGAGAAGACTGATTATAGCAAAATTATCTTGCTTTCTCTCTCCTGAACACTTTACATGATGTAGAGAAGTACAGTAGAAATGCTGTGGAAAATTTGGATTGTAAGGTATATCGTGTATTAACAATAGCATGGAAGTGCTATTGAGAATTAGAAAACACTGTCATTTGAGGATGTATCTCTGGCTTATTAGCTTTTCCAGTGCCATTGCATTTCTTAGCTTTGGCTTCAGATACAGAGTGCTTTGAAAAAATGCCAACAAAATCTAAACAGTGAAGGAGACTCTTGTGGTTTTTGTGCTGTCTGAATAGCAGAGAGATGTGTATTCAGCTTCAAGCTCTGCCATCAACTTCCTCCATCACCTCAGGCAAATCTTCCTTTTGACCTATCACTGCTTTGATTGTTGAGCTCAAGCTATTATGTAACTAATATTCAGAGGAAAGGCAGAGAACTCCCAAAGCTGACAAGTTAAAGCTTTGTAAATGCTGAGGCACAAGGCTAAGGAGGTATGCGTGAGACTGGAAATTGAAAATAAAGTGCACATTCTGGGCAGGGAAAAGTTACAAGATAATCAGCAGAGAAGGGCTGCACGCTGAAGGGGGATTTATTTTTTCTTGCTCCTGCTCAATTTGTGCAGGAGAGCCATTTGTTTATTACATGACCACACTGATCTAAGAAGCTTTCTGATCAATTTTTGGACTTCAGCTGTAATGAGAAATGCTAACCCTGATTACTGATAAGACATTGACTACGGTGCAATGATTATCGGTTTTAAACCAGCGTGTTCACCCTTGAGCTACTTTTCTGTGATACTGAATCTGACATTTTTGCTGGCTGTTTCTATATCCTCACTGCATCGTTTCACTCAGATCCATCCACTTTTTCTCTTACAAAAGCAATGACTTGCTTTATTTAGTCTTCTCTGTCTTTGAATTCCCCATCATAATTCAGATTCTACTTCATACACTTCATTTGCCTCTGCACTTAAAATACAGCATGATTTACTTCTATCATTAACCTTATCCACATGCTTCTCAGTCTACTGTCACAGAAATGTTGACTTCATCCTTACTCTTCCTTCCTCTCTGTCCCCTCCCCTCTTATCACGTGTACCTGTTTTATCCTGCCTTATTTTTTCTTTTTTGTTTCTTGAGGTTTCCTCTCAAGTAAATGTAGTTAGCCATAGACCTTTCCTATCATGAAAACACCGATTGGATTCCCTTTTTGTAACCAGTGCTGTTTTTATTCCTTTAATCTCTATCCCCTCCAAACATGCTGTGCGAATTGCTCTAATTAGAATGTGTGTCTCCTTCAGTATGCTCCATCCTCCCTCCATCAGCTGAAACTGCTCATGTTGGTATCTCTAGTTAATGTCCCAAGAATGAAGGCCCTTGTTTTGTTATTCACTCTCTGATTGAAGGACTGCCTTTGAAACATTCATTCTTCTTCCAAAATGCAGTATTCACCTGCTTTTCAAAAAAGTTTTCTTTCCTGATTCTTCACTTCTACTTCTTAAATATTGCTTTCTTTTCTCCTGTTGAGATAATGATAGGTTTCTACTTGTTATTTTTCCTCTTAACTCTTGTTTTTTCTTGACTTTCTATGGATTGGCTGCCCTTCTCAACAAATGTGTTTTCAGATATCAGCCTTTAACTCCTGCTTCCTTTATCTTCCCCCTTTTTTTTCCCACCTGGTGGCGTTGAAGTCTTACTGCACCTCGCACAGCAGCTCTTTGATAGCTCATGACTGTATTACCTGTAGTTATGCCTTAACAATGATTCTCTCTTACTGTGACCCCTGCAGCTTTGTTTATTCAAAGTGCTGTTGCTAAGGTGCCTCTCTCTGGTTTGTCATTTTTGCTGTGTTCCCTCACTTCATAATCCTCTGGTGTTACATTTTCTCCTTTGCTGAACCAAAGACAATTTTCTTCTGAATCACAGAAGGCCTTTGCAGTGTAATCTTCCTTCGTACTGGTTTATCCTATTGCCATGTCATGAGGTTAACTTCTACCTCTCTTTTGTCACCCTGGCGGACTCTTTTTGATCCCTCTGAGAAGCAAAAGTTACTTCTTTCTCAGAGTGGGGAAGGGCTTACAGAAGGAATTGTGCTACTTTTTGATACAAAATTCTTTCTTTTGGCACCACATGCTTCCTGCTGTCCTTTATACAGCCATAAAAATAAAGGATTAAATAGCCCAGTGATTCCTCTTCCCTCAGTCCTTTGCTCCTCTAGTCTGGCAGGGGATCTCCTGTGCTGCTGGAATCTCTTTGAGTTCTCTTGCCAAGACTTCAGAGACGTCTGTGCAGCACTGGCTGAAGCAGAGGCACAGAGGCAGCTGCCAGCCCTGCAGAAAAAAGCTCTGGAGTTGGTGCTGGCAGGAGGCGGGAGCCGTGAAACTGCAGGAGTGAGTGCAGAGCGTGCCAGCCAGAGTTAAACACCCATTGATTGACTTCCGTGCTGAACTCCGCAGGGGAATGCAAGAGCTACCCATCAATACTGGTTAATCCAGGGATTCCCCATGATTATTGTAAGCAATGCCATGCTTCTTTTGGATTATGAGGAGCAGGCATCTGGGTTTTTTGTAGAATATAATACAGCAGAGGTGGAGATCTGCTGGAACAATGCTCCCAAACTCTCTCCAGCTCTGAGTTATTTAAGACTGAATGCAGTCTTCTTGACTTCAGTCTGTTTTTTTTTTTGTGCTGATGTAAACGATTGAGATGTTTTTGCATTATTCATCAGCATTTCCACTGGTAAGTTGAATATTGTGTTTTGCATGGTTTATTCTTTTTGAGAAAAATGAATTAGTGTACATTATCAAGAAAATATATACAGCAATTTAGCTTCAGAGGACCTGGCTATGCTGTGTTCATCAGTATGAATGGTAAGCAAAAGAGGATACTATTCAACACAGAAATGACAGAATGGGATTTAAAGGGGAGTAGCGGCTGTCATCCACACATTCTTTTGTGTAGCACATCTTTTTTTTTTTTCCAAGTTATGCTGTCAGATGTTTTCTCCTGTGCATATGATTAAAATAAGTAGAAGTTTAATAAAAATAAAAAATGATTTAAAACATGTGAAGCTTGAATAATCACGTGTTTTAAATCTAGAACTAATCTGTATTTGGATATATTTATCTATAGAAACATGTAAATATCCTTTTTTATCTTATCAGCTTTAGACATTAGAAATAAAGCTTGGCTACTTACAGAGTTCTAGCTATCTAAATATGAGTGCTTTAGTCATAAATGAGGAAACTGTTATTATAAAATTGTCCCTTAAATTTGCATGCCTAAAATATACTGTTTTAGGATTGGTGTCTGAAAAGAAGGTGGCCAAAAATAGAAAATAATTAGGGAAAACAAGAGGTTAGTATCAGACTCAAGGTGATGTGTCTGGCAAGTGGGAAAGAAGTCGGAATGAGGAGCTGTGTCCTCTGCCCAAACTCACTTCCTGGGGGAGGAGGATCACAGAAGCAGAGAATGGGTCACACTGGAAAACATGATGCCCTGTCTGGTTTTTAATTTCTCCAAGGGTGGAAACTGCACAGTATCTCTGTGCAATCTACACCAGTGCCCAATCACTCTCACAGTAAATTGTTTTTCTTATGTTTAAATGGCATTTTCTTTGTTTTGGTTTTCACCCCTTACGCCTTGTCCCATCACTAGACTCTTCTGAATATAGCTTGGCTCTGTCTTTAAGAAGATATTTATACACATGGCTAAGAAACCACCTGTCCCTTTTCTTCTGCAAGCTGAGCAATCCCAGCACACCCAATCTTTTATAATATGCCAGATGCTTCAGATCCTAAATCACCTCCTTTGCTCTTTGCTGGACACTGTTCAGTAATGCCATGCCACTATTGTAATGGAGAACTCAGGACTGGCCCCAGATCTTTGTTTCTCACAAGTTAAGCCAAAGGATCACCTCCATCAGTCTGTTAGCAGTGCTTTACCTAGCACAGCCCAGGGTGTTTTCAGCAAACATTATGGCCCTGCAATACTGCTATGTTGTCCTATTCTCCACTGACCCAAGGAATAGAGGGGTGTTGGAATAATTTATACGCTTCTCGGCAGCTGTTAAGTCATCACATTCATTAATGCTCTGTGGTTCTGGGACCCTCATTAGAGCATGATTGGTG